TCTCTCTCTCTCTCTCTCTCTCTCTCTCTCTCTCTCCTCTCTCTCTCTCTCTCTCTCTCTCTCTCTCTCTCTCTCTCTCTCTCTCTCTCTCTCTCTCTCGTCCAAAGTTGCTAATACTGTTGCAGACACCATTACATTTTACAAGCAGGTTCTTGCAGCAAAAATATTTGGTCACTGAAGCAGAAGTGTGCAGTTTAAAACATTGGCTGCGAGGCTGGTCTCTGGCGTGGGTCTTGGCTATACCAAATACTAGACAACACTGTCTGCTGCATCACAACTCTCTCTCACAACACAACCCAACCAGCCATCCTTGACTGACTGAAGCACGACAGCAATATAAACAGCTACAACCTCCAAACACTAATTATAACATACAGAAAATCTCGCCATTCTTCAAGAACATAAGTCGACTCGAGCTTCTTTACGAAGCTCGTGATGCTTGAAGTCAAGAGAGTCGAGCAGAAAATTTAATTCTGACAAGGTAAACCGCTTTACTTTACCTTTCTGCTTGCTTCATTAACTCATTTTTTCAATCAGGCTCTTTTTATCTTAATTGAATTTGCTTGCAAAGTGAAATTCTGCTTGAGGTTCCTGGCAGCTGCTTTAACATTGTTATCTGGTAATGGCAGGAGGAGGAGGAGGTCAAAGCATTAGATAGATCGATAGATATATTATTAAGATACACTAGACGGTGGTACCCAGGTACCCGGTGAGCGGGTCTACCCGGTACCCAGGAATCATTACTCACAAAAGTAAGGATTTTAAAATAAGGAAAAATAAGGATTACTCACAAAAACAGGGATTTTGTGTGGAAAAACGACAGTAAAAGTTAAAGGAGATTACAGAGAGCATCCGACATATTTAAAAATACACCCCTTTTGTGTCTGTATCTTTGTCTCTCTTTGTCTGTCTGTCTATGGCTCTGTATCTTTGTCTATGTCTGTCTCTCTATGTCTCTGTCTATTTCTCTGTATCTCTATTTTTCTGTGTCTATTTATGTGTCCGTGTTCGTTTCGGTCTTATTTATCTCTCTCCTTCTCTCCTCCCAATATATAACCTTTGAAACACATAATTATAGTAACATTACAAAACACTAATACACACACACACACACACACACACCCACACCCACACACACACACACACACACACACACACACACACACACACACACACACACACACACACCCCCACCCACTCACACACCCACACCCACACCCACACACCCACCCACCCACCCACTCACACTCACCCACACCCACACACACACACACCCACACCCACACACACACACACCCACTCACACACACCCAAACCCACACCCACACACACACACACCCACACCCACACACACACACACCCACTCACACACACCCAAACCCACACCCACACACACACACATCCACTCACACACACCCACACCCACACCCACACCCACACACACACACACACACACACACACACACACACACACACACACACACACAAACTCATACCCACTGAAATACACTGCGAACCTTAGAAACGCCGCCATTAAGACACATTACATAGCCATTGCAACACTAAGAAATATATATAGACTGTATAACACAAATTTTAACGCATGGAATCTCTGGATTGTTTCAAGCGTAGGATAGACACACACACACACACACACACACACACACACACACACACACACACACACACACACACACACACACACACATATATATATATATATATATATATATATATATATATATATATATATATATATATATATATATATATGAACGAGTTTGGGGAGTTGATAAAAATAGAAGCTACCTCAATATGGGCCAATATGGCTTTTCTGCACTTTCCCAAAATTTTCTTTTTATGTTCTCAAGAGTAGCATTCAGAAATATCAAACGATATAGCACAGATGGAGACAAAGAGATACACATACACCCTACATATGGAGACAAACACACACTTACACTCTACAAATGGAGACAGACACACACACACCCTACATATACAGACAACAAGACACACACCCTACATATACAGACAACCAGGCACACACCCTACATATACAGACAACAAGACACACACCCTACATATACAGACAACCAGACACACACCCTACATATAGAGACTACCAGACACACCCTACATATACAGACAACCAGACACACACCCTACATATACAGACAACCAGACACACACCCTACATATACAGACAACCAGACACACACCCTACATATACAGACAACCAGACACACCCCCTACATATACAGACAACAAGACACACACCCTACATATACAGACAACCAGGCACACACCCTACATATACAGACAACCAGACACACCCCCTACATATACAGACAACAAGACACACACCCTACATATACAGACAACCAGACACACCCCCTACATATACAGACAACAAGACACACACCCTACATATACAGACAACCAGGCACACACCCTACATATACAGACAACCAGGCACACACCCTACATATACAGACAACCAGACACACACCCTACATATACAGACAACAAGACACACACCTTACATATACAGACAACCAGGCACACACCCTACATATACAGACAACCAGACACACACCCTACATATACAGACAACAAGACACACCCCCTACATATACAGACAACAAGACACACACCCTACATATAGAGACAACAAGACACACACCCTACATATACAGACAACCAGACACACCCCCTACATATACAGACAACAAGACACACACCCTACATATACAGACAACCAGGCACACACCCTACATATACAGACAACCAGGCACACACCCTACATATACAGACAACCAGACACACACCCTACATATACAGACAACAAGACACACACCCTACATATACAGACAACCAGACACACACCCTACATATACAGACAACAAGACACACACCCTACATATACAGACAACAAGACACACACCCTACATATACAGACAACCAGACACACCCTACATATACAGACAACAAGACACACACCCTACATATAGAGACTACCAGACACACACCCTACATATACAGACAACAAGACACACACCCTACATATAGAGACTACCAGACACACACCCTACATATACAGACAACAAGACACACACCCTACATATAGAGACTACCAGACACACACCCTACATATACAGACAACAAGACACACACCCTACATATACAGACAACCAGGCACACACCCTACATATACAGACAACAAGACACACACCCTACATATAGAGACTACCAGACACACACCCTACATATACAGACAACCAGACACCCACACCCTACATATACAGACAACAAGACACACACCCTACATATAGAGACTACCAGACACACACCCTACATATACAGACAACCAGGCACACACCCTACATATACAGACAACAAGACACACACCCTACATATACAGACAACAAGACACACACCCTACATATACAGACAACAAGTCACACACCCTACATATACAGACAACCAGACACACACCCTACATATACAGACAACCAGACACACACACACCCTACATATTCGTAAACACACGTTAAACGGAGAGTGACCGCGCTTGTCCCCTGCTCCCGTAGCCAAGCCGGAGTCAGTGTCGGAGTGTCGCGCTGAGAGGAACGTCTCCATGCCGGTGTCGTACGTGGTGTTGGCGTGCCTGCCGGGGTGGGACGGCGGCCTCAACCAGACCTTCACGCTGGAGGTGCGACAGGCGGCCCGGGAGGAGGTCTTGGAGGCCTTCCGTCACGCCTCCGACCCGCTCTTCATCATCACCGGGTGAGACCTGCTCTGTTTACCCTCATGATCTCTGGCTCCAAGGGTGTCCCGGGGTGTGTGTGGTGCCATGGGACAGACGCCTGCCATGCTGTATTGGCTGTATTTGGCACTGTATTGTGTGGATAACACTGTGCTATGTGGATCACACTGTATTGGGTGGATCACACTGTACTGTGTGGATCACACTGTACTGTGTGGATCACACTGTATTGGGTGGATCACACTGTATTGGGTGGATCACACTGTATTGGGTGGATCACACTGTATTGTGTGGATAACACTGTGCTGTGTGGATCACACTGTATTGGGTGGATCACACTGTACTGTGTGGATCACACTGTATTGGGTGGATCACACTGTATTGGGTGGATCACACTGTATTGGGTGGATCACACTGTATTGTGTGGATAACACTGTGCTGTGTGGATCACACTGTATTGGGTGGATCACACTGTACTGTGTGGATCACACTGTATTGGGTGGATCACACTGTACTGTGTGGATCACACTGTACTGTGTGGATCACACTGTATTGGGTGGATCACACTGTACTGTGTGGATCACACTGTATTGGGTGGATCACACTGTACTGTGTGGATCACACTGTATTGGGTGGATCACACTGTATTGGGTGGATCACACTGTATTGGGTGGATCTGCTAATTCATTGGTGCTTAGAACATATATACAATCATTTTGCTGACCAGTTTATGTATAATGTTTAAACAATTACACTGAGCACATTAGTACATTTCCAACAGGTATATTTATTGGTACATTTGTAATGCTCGAGCTTCAGCTCTTGGGCCCTGCCAATTGGTTTTATTTTTTTCATTTATTGCAGCTTTTCAATGGTTTATTATTGAATAATTAGCATAGTATACTTTACTATTGGTCTTGTGTTGGTGGTATACTCTGTCTCTCGTGTAGGTGACATACTCTAGTATAACCCCGTGTAGGTGACATACTCTAGTATAACCTCGTGTAGGTGACATACTCTAGTATAACCCCGTGTAGGTGACATACTCTAGTATAACCCCGTGTAGGTGACATACTCTAGTATAACCCCGTGTAGGTGACATACTCTAGTATAATCTCGTGTAGGTGACATACTCTAGTATAACCCCGTGTAGGTGACATACTCTAGTATAACCTCGTGTAGGTGACATACTCTAGTATAACCCCGTGTAGGTGACATACTCTAGTATAACCTCGTGTAGGTGACATACTCTAGTATAACCCCGTGTAGGTGACATACTCTAGTATAATCTCGTGTAGGTGACATACTGTAGTATAACCCCGTGTAGGTGACATACTAGTATAACCCCGTGTAGGTGACATACTCTAGTATAACCCCATGTAGGTGACATACTCTAGTATAACCCCGTGTAGACGACATACTAACATATTCTTTTAACTAGTTTCTCCATTCATTTGACACCCACAGCTGCCAGCAAGACATTGTGTGTATACTGTGATATACTAGGTTATAATGTTTATCATTTTAAAGTTATTTCACTTAATTGATATCGTGCAACTAGTCGGTAGGCAATCTTGCAGACATTTGTTTAGTACCTCGGGTGCTTTCTCTCCCCCATCATTGTCCTTGGTAATGATATCACAATTGTCCATTTGTGTTTAATACTGTTTGTGTGTGTGTGTGTGTGTGTGTGTGTGTGTGTGTGTGTGTGTGTGTGTGTGTGTGTGTGTGTGTGTGTAGTTACCGAATGAGAGTGAGAGTGAGAGTTCGTCAATACTAAGAGTTAATACACCCATCACTGTCCTCCCCCATAACTTCCCCATCACTGTGACACAGACTGAAGGTGGGTGTGGAATACATGCTCACTGTCACGGCGGCCAACTCCCGGGGGTCGAGCCCGCCCTTCACCATCACCTACACCGCGTCGGCCGCCTCCGCCGACAAGGTGGTGTCCCCCCACGCCCATACCGCCCTGCTCACCATCACGCCCTTCCTGGTGCTGCTGGTGGGCGTGGTGGCGGCGGTGTCGGCCTGCGCCGGCCTGGTCGTCATCCTAGCCAAGCGACAGAGGCGCAGTAAGACCAACGCCAAGATCCTCTACGCTGGACCTCTCAACGACATCCACGATACCTGTGATGTCCACACTATCGTCTGTGTTAATAGAGGTACTGTAGCTCTGTCTACCGTATGTTTACACGTGTTGTTTCTTATCTCAGTCTACCTGTGTACAGAAGTAATGTCTCATATCTCTGCATATAGAGGTTAACCGTCGCTTATCTACCCATTTTTACTCGTTTTATCTGTCTACTGTAGTTATCCGTCTACCCGTGTTACCTGTCTATAATCATATTCACACCTGTATGCACTCACTATCATTCCAAACTATTCACTTTACCTGTCAATGGAGTCAAGTTTTGACAGATAAAAGTGTGTGTGTTGTTACAGTGTAAAGTTTGTGTCAAATTCCAAACCCGGCTTAGAAACTGGACGACATTTTGTGTCTCAAATGACAGGAAATGAGAAAATGACAGGAAATTTCATATTGACCCGTCTACATGTTCGCTTGCGTCTCTCGCATTACTGATACCCGCTCCCGCTCATTCTCAGTGGTTCTCAGTCTCAGTGTTTCTCATTCTCTGTTTCTCATTCTCAGTGTTTCTCATTCTCTCTGTTTCTCATTCTCTCTGTTTCTCATTCTCAGTGTTTCTCATTCTCAGTGTTTCTCATTCTCAGTGTCTCATTCTCAGTGTTTCTCATTCTGTCTTTCTCATTCTCTGTTTCTCATTCTCAGTGTTTCTCATTCTCAGTGTTTCTCATTCTCAGTGTTTCTCATTCACAGTGTCTCTCATTTTCAGTGTCTCTCATTCTCAGTGTTTCTCATTCTCTCTGTTTCTCATTCTCAGTGTTTCTCATTCCCAGTGTTTCTCATTCTCAATATTTCTCAGTCTCAGTGTTTCTCATTCTCTGTTTCTCATTCTCAGTGTCTCTCATTCTCAGTGTTTCTCATTCTCTGTTTCTCATTATCAGTGTTTCTCATTCTCAGTGTCTCATTCTCAGTGTTTCTCATTCAGTGTCTCTCATTCTCAGTGTCTCTCATTCTCTCTGTTTCTCATTCTCAGTGTTTCTCATTCAGTGTCTCTCATTCTCAGTGTTTTTCATTCTCTGTGTTTCTCATTTTCAGTGTTTCTCATTTTCAGTGTTTCTCATTCTCAGTGTTTCTCATTCTCAGTGTCTCATTCTCAGTGTCTCTCATTCTCAGTGTCTCTCATTCTCAGTGTTTCTCATTCTCAGTGTTTCTTATTCTCAGTGTTTCTCATTTCCAGTGTTTCTCATTCTCAGTGTTTCTCATTCTCTGTTTCTCATTCTCAGTGTTTCTCATTCTCAGTGTTTCTCATTCTCTGTGTTTCTCATTCTCTGTGTTTCTCATTCTCAGTGTTTCTCATTCTCAGTGTTTCTCATTCCCAGTATTGCTCATTCTCAATATTTCTCAGTCTCAGTGTTTCTCATTCTCTGTTTCTCATTCTTTGTGTTTCTCATTCTCAGAGTTTCTCATTCTCAGTTTCTCATTGTCAGTGTTTCTCATTGTCAGTGTTTCTCATTCTCAGTGTTTCTCATTCTCTGTCTCATTCTCAGTGTTTCTCATTCCCTCGTAACTCCTTCTCCTGCCCATCAGAATGTGAGAAGGAGGAGTTGATGACGTCTCCTGCAGATGGCGTCGCGGGCAGCTTCTACATCAACGCCTCAACTATCCTTAACAACGTGAGTATTGACCTGCCACTTTCCTGTAGTTTTTCTCCCAAGATTCGTGACCTGGTCGATATTTTTTTTTTCTTCGGTGACTTCTGATTCATATCTTCAAATGTTCAAAAATATATTTTTTCCCCTTTGGGGATTTTTCCCTTAAGTACGAAGATCTGTCTTTAATTATTCCCGATATCTGCTGGGTTTTTTCCCTTCTTGAGATTTGATTAGTATATTTGTCCAGGTAGGAATTTTTGTCCTAGATACATTGAGCTCTGTCAACATTAATATTTCCCTAGACCAGGGGAAAACCTAGCCATTTACGGTCATATTGCTACCTAATAGGACTTAATAGAACTAGCAATGCTTTAAAATATCAGGTGAAGGGGAATTGGGTATATATTGGGTAACCTATTGAGTCAAGTCATTATGATTACAGACCCAAATTGGGTCACCCAATATGGACCCATAACCCCCCCCCCCCCCCCCTTTAGCTGATATTCCAAATCATCACGACTCATATTAGGTTCCAGTATGACCTCAAATGATGTCAATAGCTTGACATCCATTGAAGTCATACTGGTACCTAATGCGACTGGTGAAGATTTGGAATATCATCATGATTTTATTAGCTGCCCGAAACGCTTTGCGTAATAGTGGCTTTAGGCATTGTATGTACTAGCTCTATCTATAATTTCAGCAATATTTGTATCACCCCTTGTATGTACTTTACCTGAATAAACTTTTTTTGAGTATTGGTAACTCTGATTATTCTAGCTTTTTTTAATATTTATTTATTTATTTATTTATTTATTTATATATATACAAGAAGGTACATTGGGATTGTGAGGATACATAGCATAGTAATTACATTCTTGTAAAGCCACTAGTACGCGCAGCGTTTCGGGCAGTGTATAGATCAGTATAGTGTATAGATCAAGTACCAAGCCCCAATTATTTGGTTCCCATACCCACAAGGGGGCACGGGTTGAAAACTCAAGCCTTAGATTGAAGACCTATATGTAGAATTATCTTAGTTTATTTAAAAGTTCAGAAACTAGATTATACATATGTAACACACACACACACACACACACACACACACACACACACACACACACACACACACACACACACACACACACTTGCTGTAAACAACCGATGTTCGAAAGGCGGGATCCAAGAGTCAATGCTCGATCCTGCAGACACAACTAGGTGAGTACAACTAGGTGAGTACAACTAGGTGAGTACAACTAGGTGAGTACACACACACACACACACACACACACACACACACACACACACACACACACACACACACACACACACACACACACAAATGTTATCTGTCATACGACACGCTAAAGCCTACAGCAAGATACATTTACCAACACATCTAGCAACTCACACCTCTAATATCTTCCCTCTGACAGTCTGGCGTGGGCGCGCTGGAGACGGACGTCCTCCTGCGGGAGAGAATGGCGCCCCTGGCCTCCGTAGACTCCCTAGGGAGGTGCTCCACGCCCTCCTCCATCTGTACCTCCAAGACCACCTCCTCCAGGTCCTCGCGGGCCTCTTCCTCTACAGTAGCCCTCAACCCGGACTACCTGGCCAAGGACCAAGAGTACCTGGCCAAAACTCCAGAGTACTTGATCAAGAGTCCAGAGTACATCACCAGAGAGGAGGTCTATGCTCTTCCTACGGGGCCTCTCATCCACCTTCACAAGGAAAGCTCCGTCTAGCTCACCCGTCTATAACTCTTGACGTTACTGGAGAGACAGTAACAGCAGCCATCGCCAGTAACGGTCATTAGTGCTGAATAATGCGGTCATTAACGGTCAGTAACGGTCATTAGTACTGAATAATGCGGTCATTAACGGTCAGTAACGGTCATTACTGCTGAATAATGCGGTCATTAACGGTCAGTAACGGTCATTAGTACTGAATAATGCGGTCATTAACGGTCAGTAACGGTCATTACTGCTGAATAATGCGGTCATTAACGGTCATTAGTGCTGAATAATGCGGTCATTAGCGGTCAGTAACGGTCAATAGTGCTGAATAATGCGGTCATTAACCATCAGTAACGGTCATTAGTGCGTTAGGAATGGCTTGTAACTGCCTCTTATCATATTGAAAGCTGCACATGAAAACCAGATTGCAAAGTTGAACAGCTTCCGCTGCTATAAGCGATGTCTTCAGCCGCCGCACCTGTAAGGTTCAAGTGGAAACCTCACCGACACACCACTATAAACAGAGACCCTTGAGAACCACGGGCCAGGTCTCTGGGCTCAGGAACCTTGAGGCCAGTTTTAACATGTAAACAAACATGTAAAACATCTTATCTTTTACATGTAAACAAAAACCTGCAGTGATGCAGTGACTGGGTGAACAAGCCCAGCAGTGATGCAGTGACTGGGTGAATAAACCCAGCAGTGATGCAGTGGCTGGGTGAACAAGCCCAGCAGTGATGCAGTGACTGGGTGAACAAACCCAGCAGTGATGCAGTGGCTGGGGATAAACAAGCCCAGCAGTGATGCAGTGACTGGGTGAACAAACCCAGCAGTGATGCAGTGACTGGGTGAACAAACCCAGCAGTGATGCAGTGACTGGGTGAATAAACCCAGCAGTGATGCAGTGACTGGGTGAATAAACCCAGCAGTGATGCAGTGGCTGGGGATGAACAAACCCATCAGTGACGCAGTGACTGGAAATAAACCCAGCAGTGATTGCAGTGCCCACTAGCAATGCATGTGTGTGTGTGATCCCAGTGGACACACAGCTAACTATGGCTGTGACCACTTAGAAAAAAAAAACCTGTGTCAAGCATCTTGAAGGTATACTGTCTTAACAACCAAACTATCTGGGCCAAGACGGATCAAGTATCTACCCAACCGGTAACGAAACCTCTACATCTCACCTCAATCATGGCTGCTTTGTTTACATTTATTCAACAGGTTATATGAGCCTAAAAGCACTACGAGGTTGTATATGACAATAATAGCCTTGGATTGTGAAGTTTCAAAGCTGGAAACTGTTTTATAACTGTAAATAAAGCTGCCATGAGTAAGGAATGATCTACAGGTTTCGTAAATAGTTGCGTTAAGGATCAATAAAGCTTGTCCCGGTTTTGTTTACGTTTGTAGTGACTTTAGCTGATAGATAGTTGAATTACATTTTACGAAGACTTTGAATATACAAATGATCTCGTATACAAGGGTCTTGAACTGTCGTCAGAAGAGACTCGTGGGGAACCGTGAACAAGCTCGTTCAGGCACTATTGTACTGGTACATTCTTCAAGACAAACTTCTTGAGGGGATACTGAAGCATATCATTGGTAATAAGTGTTCCAAGACATACTTGTATACCATAATACTTAATGTGTGGATGTGAGCGATTGTATTTTTGTTTATAAACCTGGAAAATGTAACATTTACGACTGATCAAAGTGGAGAGATAGAAATACTCTATCGGGAATAGTCGTACTTGGAACAGGGATTCAAATTGGTGCTAAATAGGTATAGTATATTAGGATATAATCGACTTATTATTTCTTATAACGCGCTCTCTCTCTCTCTCTCTCTCTCTCTCTCTCTCTCTCTCTCTCTCTCTCTCTCTCTCTCTCTCTCTCTCTCTCTCTCTCTCTCTCTCTCTCTCTCTCTCTCTCTCTCTCTCTCTCTCTCTCTCTCTCTCTCTCTCCCCCCCTTTACTAACCCTCCCCATTTCCTCTTCACTCATGGCATGCAAATGCTCCTAATTCGAACAGAGAGAAGAGAACACAAAATGCTGTGAACCTAAGCTATGTTTAATTAAGTCTTGCACTGTAACGGAGGAAAGACACAGAAAACACACCGAGTGCATTAGTCAGGGGGATAGAGTGACGCAGCCCTGGGAAGGTATTGTTCAGCATCAGTTTCTGTGTCTATTGTAAAACACGGGCACAGAAACTTGTGTTTGTGCGAGTGTATTTACTTACGTGTGGTTATAGGATGAGAGCTACGCTCGTGGTGTCCCGTCTTCCCAGCACTCTTTGTCGTATAACGCTTTGAAACTACTGACGGTCTTGGCCTCCACCACCTTCTCACTTAACTTGTTACAACCGTCTACAACTCTGCAAAAGTAAACTTTCTAATGTTTCTTTGGCACCTTCGTTTCTTTAGCTTTAATCTATGACGTCTTGTGTGTATTTACTATTTATATTTACTATTTGTGTCTGCAGAATCGAGCTATTAGCTCTTGGACCCCGCCTTTCTCACTAATCTATTTTTCCTCTATTATATCTACTACATATATTTCTAATACACGCACACACAAACACTTCCCCCAGAAAGCAGCACATAGCAGCTGTCTACCTCCCAGGTACCTATTTACAGCTAGGTGAATAGAAGGATCAGGGGTGAAAGAAACTCTGGCCATTTGTTTTCGCTTCCGCCGGGAATAAAACCCGGGCTCTTAGGACTACGTCCCCTGAGCGCTGTCTACTCAGCCGCGAAGCCCCCGTAAAGGTGTGTGTGTGTGTGTGTGTGTGTGTGTGTGTGTGTGTGTGTGTGTGTGTGTGTGTGTGTGTGTGTGTGTGTGCTTAATACACCTTATACCAACAGAGGTTAACATCAGAGATATCTAAGATATCACCTTCATTCACCATAACTATGATCACAATCACCATAACCATCTGCTGCTTTTTGGCAGCTGTTGGTCGTCTGGTCCACCAGGCTGTTGGACGCTGCTCGCAGCCTGACGAATGACTCACAGCCTGGTTGATCAGGTATCCTTTGGAGGTTTTTATCGCGTTCTCTCTTGAACACTGTGAGGGATCGACCAGTTATGTCCGTTATGTGTAGTGGAAACTGCACCAACCTGTCCTCTTAAAAATAACGTCGCTTTTGGCCGTTTACCCGTATGGCCGAAAGTGGACGTAATTTGAAAATGAAAAAAATGAAAATATATTTTGGATTTTTTTTTCAACAACAGTAAGTTAAGGGTCCTCTGATAGGTTAGGTGGGCAGGAAATTCTCAAAGTTTCAAAACGTTATGAAAAACGTCAATTGAAAGTTTCTATTTCTAACCTTACCGAGTAAGCCGGACGTCTCAAACAGAAAACGGGACAGTACGTCACTTTTGTGAGTCGATTTCATTTCAAATTACGTCCAAATTTGGCCATAGTGCGCATACGGGCCAAATGTGACGTTATTTTTACGAGGACGGGTTGCGAACAGTCTCGGGCCTTTGACGTTGATAGCGCTCTCTGCGTACCTACTGCACCTCTGCTTTTCAGCTAGGGATATTCTGCACATCCTGCCATGCCTCCTGGTCTCATGTGGTGTTATTTCAATTCACAGATTCGAGAAACAGTCCCTCTAATAGTTTCCACGTGAATCCTATCTCACTATCAGCATCACTATCACCACAACTATGAGGGTATAACCCACCAATGAGGGATATTGCATACCCCATATTCCCCCATAATGCATCAGTCGCCATTACGACTATATAGCACTTGGAAGGGGTCAGGATAAGGATTTGGGCCATGGAGGAACGGGAGGTGATGGGAAGGGCTGTGGCTCTTGGAGATGGGAGGTGGTGAGGGGCTAGGGAGTGATGGGAGAGGGGAGGGAAGGTGGGGGGGTTAAGGGAGGGGGTTATGGGGAAAGGGTTAGGTGAGGCAGTTATCAAGATAACTCGTTAAGTCAGAATGACAATATATCACTTGAAAGGGATATGAGGACAGGCAGCTGGGATATGAGGACAGACAGCTGGGATATGAGGCCAGGCAGCTAGGATATGAGGCCAGGCAGCTAGGATATGAGGCCAGGCAGCTGGGATATGAGGACAGGCAGCTGGGATATGAGGCCAGGCAGCTGGGATATGAGGCCAGGCAGCTAGGATATGAGGCCAGGCAGCTAGGATATGAGGCCAGGCAGCTGGGATATGAGGACAGGCAGCTGGGATATGAGGCCAGGCAGCTGGGATATGAGGACAGGCAGCTGAGATATGAGGACAGGCAGCTGGGATATGAGGCCAGGCAGCTGGGATATGAGTCCAGGCAGCTAGGATATGAGGCCAGGCAGCTAGGATATGAGGCCAGGCAGCTGGGATATGAGGACAGGCAGCTGGGATATGAGGACAGGCAGCTGGGATATGAGGCCAGGCAGCTAGGATATGAGGCCAGGCAGCTAGGATATGAGGCCAGGCAGCTAGGATATGAGGCCAGGCAGCTGGGATATGAGGACAGGCAGCTGGGATATGAGGCCAGGCAGCTGGGATATGAGGCCAGGCAGCTAGGATATGAGGCCAGGCAGCTAGGATATGAGGCCAGGCAGCTGGGATATGAGGCCAGGCAGCTGGGATATGAGGCCAGGCAGCTGGGATATGAGGACAGGCAGCTGGGATATGAGGACAGGCAACTGGGATATGAGGCCAGGCAGCTGGGATATGAGGCCAGGCAGCTAGGATACGAGGCCAGGCAGCTAGGATACGAGGCCAGGCAGCTAGGATATGAGGCCAGGCAGCTAGGATATGAGGCCAGGCAGCTGGGATATGAGGACAGGCAGCTGGGATATGAGGCCAGGCAGGCAGCTGGGATATGAGGCCAGGCAGCTAGGATATGAGGCCAGGCAGCTAGGATATGAGGCCAGGCAGCTATATGGATATGAGGCCAGGCAGCTGGGATATGAGGCCAGGCAGCTGGGATATGAGGCCAGGCAGCTGGGATATGAGGCCAGGCAGCTGGATATATGAGGCCAGGCAGCTGGGATATGAGGCCAGGCAGCTGGGATATGAGGCCAGGCAGCTAGGATATGAGGCCAGGCAGCTAGGATATGAGGCCAGGCAGCTAGGATATGAGGCCAGGCAGCTAGGATATGAGGCCAGGCAGCTGGGATATGAGGCCAGGCAGCTGGGATATGAGGCCAGGCAGCTGGGATATGAGGCCAGGCAGCTGGGATATGAGGCCAGGCAGCTAGGATATGAGGCCAGGTATTATTATAGACTGTGGGTTGGTTGGTGTTGTCGTCGTTGATCCTTCTCTACGGACAACCCAACCCACAACTCGGTAGAGTGCTTATACTAGGAGATCACCCTTGGCGCTTCTGGCTCTTGGAGAGGGGCTCAACGTCACACGTTTAGGGGATGCGGCTCCAACATTTAGCCTCGTTGTCACGTGCACACACCCACTCGAGCCGCTGTGACTCCCCACTCTCTCCTTAGGTGATATGATCTCCTCAATCCCCCTATGACTTACTAGTATTACCTCCTACCCTGTCCACAGCAGTGGTTCATGGTTCTTTCTCTCTCTCTCTCCTTCTTTACTACCTCCTGGGAAGCCTCACTAGGACAAGGGCAAACACCAGCAAATTGTGACACATTTACTGAACAAAGCACATACACGATACATACACACATATAATAATAATGAATCCTATACTCTATAATATCACAATCAGGTTGCACTCCAATACCATCAGAACTCTATTATCAGCTTATCAAGTGGTATCCTATCTCCTGGTTCACCACCTGATACTATTAACCTCCTCAAGTTGGTCAAGCCTACACACTGTTGCACTATCAGCAAGATAATGTATATATAGAAAATCAGCATTTGAATGCAATAACATATATCAGTGTAAATGTTCATTGATACACAACAATGATTAATCGATCACTGTCAGTCCTCGAGCACATACATCTGTAGGTAATCAAGCCTACGACTGCAACTCTAAGCTTCAGAATAAATCACTCCTTGACATAAGAATGCAAACAGTCACTCACCTCTCACTGCGTCTTGCACGCTACTGACAACCAAACACTATCAACTCCCTATAAGTAATCCACCAGAACTTCCCCTTCCACCTCTGGAAGTTCACAACCCTAATATCCTTAGGTTCTTCCGGGCTTCACTACCAGGATCCTCTGCAGCTCCTCCAGGCTGCTATCATGAAGTTTCCTTGTGCAACTACGGTGCTTCACCCTTCTGTTAGGTTCTTCCACAGCTCTCTTGGCTGCTACACCACCTCTACAGAAGCATGTGACACTCCTCTTCACTGCTGCTTCTCCTCACAGCTCGAGGTCCTCTGCTCCACTACCTTGGAGTCTCATCAGCTACATCATCTGCTGGCTTCGAAGTTCTCAGCAACTTCTTCCCCAAAAGACAAACCTGCAACCCATCGACACTCCAATAAAATGTTCCCCTTTAACACATAAACAAAAAATATTCACACAATATGTTTGCCTCAAACCTCTATCTGTTCTCTACATACAGTGAGAGTGGACTCCCCCGTTTTGGGCGGGTCCATACTCCACCTCGCCTGGCGGCGGTCCTCACTCGCTGGGAGGGTCTTCCTACATCCGGAGCCAGGCTCCCTCAGTCGTCCGCCAGCGCTCAGAGGGGACGGACGTCGCTCCGTGTTCCTCCCTCTCCACTCTCTTATTTCAGGCTTTCTGCCTTATTAAAACATGTCTAACTTATAAATAAACATCGCTACTGTCGCTGGGCACACGACCAACTACAATGCAATCACTATGAACTGGCGTATATCGTGCTTACCACAGAACGTCTGGTCGAGGGCGCTTCTTCCTCTGACGAGGCTTGGTCAGGGCGCTCCACGGCCCACAATAATGCCTCCGGGCGGCTTAATATTCACTAATTATCGTCCACGACTTGAGACCACACGTCCCCAGCTCTATTCCACAGCTGGTACGTCTGCACACTTCTCTTCTCTTCGAGATATATCACTAGGGGTTCCCTTCTGACGGGAGCTCACGGAGCGCAGCTTTCCCCTGCGATGTCTGGCACTCAAGTGGGGTCAAAGCCCTTCCAGAAGCGAGCCTCACGCCTCCAGCAAAATGTCCACATCTCCTAGCCAGTCATTTATCTATTTCCTTACTTACTGCCCATAATCTTAAACTGTTACACATATCCAACCAACTATTTTACATATGCGTTATCACCTCAATACTTGCTAGACCTTCTAATCAGGTCAGGCTTGACGAATAACTCTCAAGGAGGGAGACTCGTTTCTCCTGTAGGCTGAGATCATAACACTCCCCTCCCCTTATTTTTGAGAGTTATTCCAGTGGCAAAGCTCGGGATAATACATCCGCCACTACACTATCTCGTTCTTCACCCGATATACTCTCTTAGGAGTCTACAATTAGTTCGTTGCTCCTTGCAACATCTGGCTCACAACTCGCCAGAAACATGATCTTCTCATAAACGATCTGACTTCTCTGGCACCTGTTGGCTAGGCTGTCCTCCTTGGACGCCTGCAATCCATTGGTCCACTCTACTTACTGTCTCCACCCTCCG